CTTCCAATGTACTATTATTTCATAACACTAAAAGAAGTGTCTGCACTATTCAGTTCTCCATCTCCATGAAGAGTAACCCTGAAGCTTTCGTGCCATTTAGCATCTGTAAGCAAAATCTTATTTTCTCTTAATCATATGGAGACAGGAAATCAAAATCTGGAGCACTGCAGTGAGGAGGAAATAGTAAAATGGTTCTTACAGGCTCTAATAACTGCACTGTATACTTGGGCGCTGCGTGTAATGGAGCATATCTGTAATCCAGCTGAAGAATTGGAGGTGAGATCACATGTACAAGACCAGTATGGGCTGTATAGTGACATCAAGGCTAGTCTGGGCTCCACAGCGGGGTTCTCCAGGCAGAGAGATGGCTCAGAGGTTAAGAGCACTGTTTGCTCTTGCAAAGGACCCAGGTTTGGTTCCCAACACCCACATGGTGGTTAACAACCATCTGTAACTCCAGTTCCAGATCTTCTGGCCTCTGTGGGCATTGCATGCAGGGGTGCACTCACATGCAGGAAAAACATGCATATACATAAAATTTAAAAAGTAAAATTAAAAAGATTCTGTCTCAAAAAGCCAAAACAAACAAAAAAGAGCAAACAAAACCCAGGTTTTAGTTACTTTCCCTGTTTCTGTGATAAAATACACTTACAAAAGCAATTTGAGGGAGAATTGGTTTATTTTTGGCTCACAGTACAAAGATACCATCCGTCATGGCAGGGAAGTCAAAGCAGCAGGAACTTAAGAGCAGCTGATAACTTCACAGTCAGGAAGAAGGGAGCAAAGAACACTAGTACTCAGTTAATTTTTCCATTATGTACAGTTCAGTGCCCAAGCCCAGGGGATGATACTATCCTCCTTTAGGGTGGGTCTTGCTTTGTCAATTAACCTAAACAAGGTAATCCCTCACAAGCATGCCCAGAGACTAACCTAATCTAAACCTTTCATAGGTGAACCTCAAGTCTTACCGCCTATGCAATTTCAAATTCTGTCAAGATGACACAACACTAACAGCCATGCCCTACAAAACAAACATATGCACACACAACTTCTAATTCTGTAGGTCTTTGTTCAAATATCATATTGTAGAAAATATTTGCCCGCTCTCAAGACTAGCTCAGATACAGGTTTCCCTAAAGTATACATAAAGATTTGTTTGTGTGACTATTTCAAAAATGTTTGCCCCATCAATTACATAACAAAAAAGAAAATTTTATAAAGCTTGCTAAGCAGTTATTTGCTCCTATGCTTTATTATTTTTTCTTTCTTAAAAGATTTATTGATGGGGCTAGAGAGATTGCTCAGTGGTTAAGAACACTGACTGTTCTTGTAGAGAACCTGGGTTCGAATCCCAGCACCCACATGGCACCTAACAACTGTTCATAACTCCAGTTCCAGGGGATCCGACAGCCTCTTCTGTCCTCCATGGGCATTGCATGACACTGGTGCACTTACCTACATGCAGGCATAACACTCATACACGTAAAATAAAAATAATAAAATATTTTTTTAAAAAGATTTATTTATGTGTATGTGTGTGTATGCCATGTATATATGGGTTTCTGCAGAGACCAAAAGAGGGCACTGTATCCCCTGGAGCTGGAGTTACAGGTGGTAGTTGTTAGTCACTTTGTATGGGTGTTGGAAACTGAATCCAGTCCTTAAGTTCTCTGAAAGAGCAGCAACTGCTCTTAACTGCTGAGCCATCTCTGTGGTCCCTGCTCCTATACTTTAAATTATCTACAGCTAGAGATCCTTTCTTACTGTAAGGGTATTGTGAGGATTGAGTTAGTATTTGTAACATTATTATACAGTAAGCACTTTATAAGTATTTGCTGTTAGTATTGCTCAATCTTTAAGTCTCTATAGTACTCCATGTAAAGTAGGCCACAAATATGTTAAGATAAACTGAATTTGTATATAAATTATGCTAAAGTTAACTACTACATAGTAAAATTCTATATTATGTGTCCCATTTTCAGAGTATCTTTTTATTTCCTTCAAACAACATCAGGTTTTCAAGTATCTGAGTAAAGTGAAACTATACTCTCACAGGCAAGAGCATATTGCCCATAATTGGGTAGGAAGAGACTTGAAGCCTGTGCCTGCTTTATATCTATCTGGACATGATGTAAGTGAAAGTTGTTCACAAGCAAACAAAACATTAAAAGAGAGAACAAAAGATTGCTTTAGATAACAAGGATGTATAAGCTGGTTTGGTTCGGTTGTGTTTTGTGTGTTAGGTGGTATGTGGTGTTTTATGTGGTGTTGTGTGTTGTGTTTTATTTTGTTTTGAGACCTGGTCTACTTGTAGTCCCAGCTGGCTTGGAACTTGATTTGTAGACCAAGCTGGCCTCCACTTCACAGTAAACACTTGCAATTATTTAAATCCAAATGCCATCAAGAACTCAGCCTTGCCTGATAATCAATCTATCAGAGGTTCTTAAGAATCATTGAGTCTAAGAGAATGCCATAGATTTTTACTAGTATGTTTTATGTTAGTAAGAAGGTATTTTAAGTCAGTGTGCTTTTGCAAGGCACACTCAATTTAGGGGTGACAGCATAGTCATCAATAAATGTTGTTAAGGAGGTCATGGCTATTAGCTCCCAACGTTCACTGAATATTGGAATAAAAATTGCTATTATGTCACTTTTAGTAAGGAGGAAATTGAGGCGTGAAGTAGCTAAGCATCTTATTCAAAGAGTAAGTATAGTGGTTTGAATGAGCGGTATCCCCCATTTGCTCAGGTATTTGAACAATTGGTCCCAGGTTGGTGGTACTGTTTGGGGAGGTTTAAGAGGTGTGGCTTTGCTGGAGGAAGTATCTCATGGGGGGTAGGTTTTGAGAGTTCATAGCCTCTCCCCACTTGCAGTTCACTCTCTGCTTTCTGTGGGCAGTGAAGATGTAATCTCTCAGCTTCCTGCTCTGCAGCCTGCTGCCACACCTTCCCCACCATTGTGGATTCTCCTTCTGGAATGCTGGATCCATAAGCCAAAATAAACTCTTTCTTCCATAAGTCACTTTTGGTCATAAGTGTTTTCCAGCAACAGAAAAGTAGCTAATACCCAGGTTCAAAACCTAAGCCTAACTATATCAAAGCCCATGTTTACAATCCCCACACTGGATTCATTGCCCAAATGAATCAACAGAAGGTCACACACAAATAAGATTCAATCCAACTTTACCAAATGAACTATTAAAGGGTTAACATTATCCTCTCTTCTTAACTTTCTGTCATAAAAATCTTCTAAATTCTCTCCTCCAAACAAATAAGACCTTCCTAATTCGTTATTGTTGTTTTTACTGAGATGCCATTTATCACTCAACCACTCCCCTTTGGTTTACCATTTCCATTAAGGAAGCAAATGAGAAAGTAGACATAAGTGAATAATGGAGACAGAAGATGAATTCAGAGTGGTCCAAACAAGAGTTTTTGTTAAACACCTAACAGAGAATGCATTCTGTAATACTCTGCTGACTACCACTGATTCATATGAAGTCTGTGAGAGGTAATTGAATTATTCCAGGAATTTCTCTAATGGTCTATCAGAAAACTGCCCCTTTCTGAGCAATTTGATCCAACAAGATGCTGGAGTAATTACCATCAAACCAGAAAACAGATAGATGTGACTGTTTAATGCTTATGAGATAATACAAGCATACAAATAAATGGTTATAGCTAAATAGATGCTTTCTAATAAAAGTCATAGAAATAATTTCTATCATTAACCACACATGAATATGAGACCATATACCCATGACCTCTGCTATTAGATGCTGCAGCTTATAGATATGTAGGTTACTTGAAGTTAATGAGCTTCCATTGTGGAAAGATGCCAGTTATTTTGAGAGAAATTTCTGCAATCTCTAATTGATTCCCAGACCATCTGCTCCATCTAAGGGTAACCTTATACTGAATAATATTAAAGATTTGATACTTTCAGAAGTTGATGGATGAAAGAAACTCTACTGCTTATTGGTCATAAGGTTATATAACTGTTCCTTAGCAACCAGCATTTGTCTTTTCTGTGACAAAGAAGTCACTGCAAAGGGGGAAACTAAAAATAAAACTGTTTGGACAGTGGCAATTCACAGAGGCAGAGCTTCAAAGGTGGCAATGCCCTTACAAATTGCAGTGTTGAGTGAAAGAAACTCATTCTACAGGGTGGAGAGAGAGGGTTGCTGATGCTCTGCATAATACGTGTTTCCAGGATACCAGCAGGAGTCCCTGAACCACAGACTTAGAATAAACATCATCTATCTGTTTCTGCTTACCACACATTCCAACCTTGAGTCACTGGGGTCCTCACACTCAGCTTTGCTGGTCCCAAGAGGCTAGTGTATTTGGGAGTGTTATAGCGATGCAAGAATGCTCCTAGGTATATGTGGACCCTCTTTACGTTCCTTCTTGCGCTTTGTCTAGCTTGGTGATTCCATTTAGGGTACCATTATCCAAGCTCAGGTGGGTTGGACACACTCATCTTTCAATCCTGCACCTAGTTACAAGAATCAGTGAAGTGCTGGGGTCTGGGATA